ACTAATCCACATATGTTACAATATGAATGAATTAGTAAGATTACGTGGCGGTGCCGAAGGCAAGCTGTGAAGGTCCCTTTCTCCTAAAAATTTCATCTCCTATTGTTCATCATAGCCTAAGGTCCACTTTAATAACATTACCCTCATATAACAACATTATATGTACATTATGCATTATTAGCTAGTAGTAACGTTACTTACAGATATTAGAATAAATACTCACGAACTGAACGTAGCTATGTTGTCTTGGATTAATAGATGTACATGCAGTTCGACGCTGCAAGAGAAGAGGCAAGTAAAGAACGTGTTAATCAAGAGATGAAAACGGAACGGAGGTTGAAAGAGAAAGATAGAGAGATAGCATTCTGGTTATCTGAGAATGTCAACATCCCTCAAAATGAGAAGGATAAGGTAAAGTCACAGATCATGAGAACGGTGAAACACGAACTTGAGGAACTCAGGAGTGGTGACGTGGAGGAGATTCTCTCTATTCTTCCCTCTGAACTTCAAAGCTATCTCAATTCCCATATGATGTGGAAAAAGTTACAGAGAGTAAGTTCCTATGTGATGCATGCTACCTTGCTAAATTAATTTAATTTTCCTCGCATTATCTTTTCTTACATGCATATATGTATATATCTATTGAATTAATTTACGCAGGTTCCAAAGCTTGACTCACTGGATGAACAAGTATTGAAAGCGATCTGGAAGCATTCTAAGACTCTGAAATATGCTGCAAAGACCGATATTATTAAAGCGAATGAACCGATTGATAAGATGTTCTTCATCATAGAAGGAATTGTAAAGATTGAAAGTAGTAAGGATCTTTCTTCTGCGCAGCTTGAAGCAGGAGGTTTCTTTGGAGAAGAACTTGTAGATTGGGCAACAATTGCTGTATTTCCTAACTTATTACCCTTGTCGACCAGTAGCGCCAAGGCCACCAAAGATGTCAAAGCCCGTGTTCTCCTGGCCAGCGACTTGTGTGATGTAGTCAGTCTTTTCCGGGACCATTTCCGTAAGAGGAAGCGCCCCCCACCGGACCTCGTTGGGTTTAACTGCACACCGGCACCTCCCCCACCTCACCGGACAGTGTCAGGTTTAGCTGCCTATAGACCTTGGTAAATCTGCGCCCTACTCTGCACTAATCACATATTGAACCAGCTCATTGTAAATAAATCCTTTTCCTGTTTTTTCTGTTGCATTAATAATGCACCAAAATTCTACCGTATAACAAGCAGACGATGGACAAAAGCAACATTATTTGCAGAAATTATAAAGTAGCCTTGTCTACCTAGGTTTTTGTCTCCGCTGAAAAAAGTTAAAGTCACTACAATATTTGTTGGCTATATATGATAGCTGAAGCCAACTGGAATTGTTGAGCTGGCAGTGGTTAGTTCAGTTGCTGACCAACATGTCTAGTTAGTTAGTTAGTTTCTAATATTGTTAGATGGTTAGGCTGTTAAGCAACAGTTTTAGAAGTTCGTTAAGAGCTTAAGAACAAATGTATAAATACTCTAAGAAACCTTGTAAGGACTTATAAGGATCACTTAGAACTTGAGCGTCTAACCTAAAACTAATTGGCAAGATCTTTTAAACGCTATTGCAAAACTTCCATCCTCCAATGCGGATATCAACATACATGATGCTATTCTCCATTATTATTATTTAGTCAATCCACAATTGCATGTTGCACATGAAATTTCTTGTATATTTCTAGTCACATGATGTAACTAGGACGATGAATGCAGATTACGTTTCCAATCTTATTTGCCCTTTGTCTTCTTTTGTGTACCTAGGATTCGTAAGACGTCTACCAATAGTTTCCTAGTCGCCCACATTCATTCATGGAAGTTTAAAAAGATATGGTTTTTGACATAATTGCACAATATCAACACTAGAAAATCAAAATCCGGACTCATAGATTTATGACCAAACATTCAAAACATAGTAATTTGACATAGTTTTCGTTAGGAACAAGCCAATCAATTATCGGCCATCATCATCAGGCTTCGACACTAATTTGGATTTGATTTGGCCCTGCACTGCAGTCGTATAACTCTGCAGCTGTTAAATCCAACAAGAACCAAAAAATTCATCAAATCCACGTCTAACCTCAAGAACTTGAGCCTATGAAGGTGAACCAAGCAAGTTGTCGGTTTTTTAGGGAGATTGAGAAAAATTCAACTTAGCCATTCCCGTAGAAGCTGAATAATGCCATTCCATAAATCGCAACACCTCAAGCTTCGTGGCTACTTCTTTCATGGAAGGCCTTTCGTTTCGTATCCCTAAACAGCGTTTTGCCAGATCAGCAGCTTTTTCGGCTGTCTCAAGATTTTCCCTTTTGATTATTTCACCATCAAGAATTTGACCCAAGCGACTCTCTTCCACCGAGCGAAGAAACAAGCTTGCAAGGTGTTTGTCTGCCTCAGGCCTCTCTTTACAAAACGCCTTTTGGCTTGTTAGTAGCTCCACTAGGACAACGCCAAAGCTATAGACGTCATTCTTTTCTGACGACGTGATTGATTGAATACTTTCAGGGTCTAAGTATCCGGATGAGCCTAGCACGATACCTTGTACATGAGTTTTACCTTGAAGAACTTTTGCCGCTCTAAAGTAGGCCAATCTTGCCGTGTAATTCTCATCCAATAGTATTCTTTTCGAATTCACGTTTAGATGTATGATTGGTGAATTGGAAGTGGAGGAGTGCATGTATGCTAGCGCCGCTGCGATTTCTGCTGCTATCTTCATTCGTGATTCGAATGAGAGTGTTGACAATCCTTCGTTTTTTTCGTGAATGTGCTTGTAAAGAGTGTCATTGTTGATGAAATCGTAAACTAAGGTTTGTTGTTTCGAATCTACACAGTAACCTAAGAGTCTCACCACATGCCTATGGTTGATCCGAGAAAGAACTTTAAATTCTGTAATTAACAAACCTGTTTTCGGACTTGAACTTCTTTACGGCAACCACTCTCTCATCTTGTAGAAATCCTTTATACATTTTTCCATGCTCTCCGGTAGCAATGATTCTGCTGTCATCGTAATTGGATGTGGCCTTTTCCAGTTCTTTTCCATTAAACTTTCTGGTTGCTAACTTAATAGATCCATTATATTTATCCAGTTCCTTTTCTAATTGCTCATGAAAGAGATATTTGAACTGTAATACATACCTTGCTATTTTCAGGACTATGCAATATCTCAAAAGCAGTCCAACCAGCAAAACAACGAAGCTTATACTGAAACCTGCACGTAATTGAAAACCAGCCACAAACATTTGAGACTTTGACAATTTATTTATGTGTGTGTGTTAAGTAGGTAGTACATACGTACCCAGTGAAATTTTCAGAGGAGTCATGTTCTTTGTTGCCCGGGTTCGAAGGCTTGCACTGATCAGCAATATATGGCAAGAGACGCAAAATTACAACCCAGTAATCCCACAAAATTAGCTAGAGCTGCACAATAAGCACACCTCTTAGTTCCTCCCAAATGCCTTCTTCTTCTATCTCTCTGTACTTCACTGTCTGCTCCAATGTTTCGTCTATCAATTATTTCCTTCAATATGCAGGGGAACATATCCCACTTGGTGTAAAATTACACTAATGCACTGCCCTATAGGCCCACTTGGCAATAACATACGGTCAAATCGATAATAACATATATCACTAAGCGAAGCGAAGGATCAAAGTCTTTTTATTTTTTAGTAAAGAGGAGCAAAGTCAAGCGCAAACATTATTCTTTATTGGAAAATGCTAGGCTTACCACATTTTTCATACCACATTCATACCACCTCTCTAATAGAGGTGGGCCCCATTGTATTGGTGGGCTCCACCTCTATTAGAGAGGCGGTATGAATGTGGTATGAAAAATATGGTAAGCCTAGCATTACCCTTCTTTATTTATGCGATATATGAATGTATCACTTCATCACATATGACTAGCCCATAAAAGATTTATTTTTAAAAAACTTTCAAAGACTTGTATAATAGGACTTCGGAATATTCTTAATCAGACTTGGGGACAGAACTAGATCTATCCAAGAGCAACCTTTGCCTGCTCTGTTTTGTTCTCTTTGGGCCCACTGGTTGTATAAGAATCTTTTCAGCGGGAGAGTTTCAAATCCAAAATTAGACCTCTATGGCCCGAAATTACTCCCAATCCTTGTATACAAGGGGCCCACAATTGATGGAGCACAGCGGTGGAGCCCACTAGACCACGTGAAGGCTGGCCCCTTTTAGGTTTTCTTTAATGCAATGCCGTGCCCGCCCCTTGTACATTGTTTCTCTCATTAGCAAATGGTCTTGGTCATTGGGCTGTTGCAGTCGAAATGTACATATTCAATTTTTTCTTCTTTTTTTTGCAAATAAAAAAACTTAGTGGCTATTTCCAATCCAACTACCCTCATTGAATCTAATCAAATGAAACATTAAAAAGAATATCCAAGGCCAAGAGGCTGATTAGTTCATTTATATCATATTCAACCCCGAAAATCATTCCTAGGTCTATATATATATATATATATACCCACCCATTTTTTCCTAATTCGTGTCTTTGTCTTTTATAATCAAATACAATTATATTTTTATAATTTATAACTTTTTAAATGAAAATAATTTATAATTTATAAGTGAAAATGTTCATAAAAACAAAATTTAAAAAATGCAAACACTGATTAATTCCATAAAAGTTCATCAAATAATTTGAGATTAAGACACAATACGAGTTCATTGGAGTTGAGTACAAGTCAGTCTTTACGAGTCTTGTCTCCTTTAAAAGTAAAGTATGAATAATAAGTTACCAAAAGAAATAAATTATTAAGACATAATACGAGTCCACGTGGTATTGATGCAAATTTACCTTTCTAAATCAATAGTTATGTACTATTTGTGCTCCAAAGTTCATACTCTGTTGAGCACTAATTGCTTTGAATTTTTAATTTTCAAATTCAAACATGATCCTAATCGGAATGATAATTGCACAAAGCTTTGAAACTAAATGTATTGAATCTCCTGAAAGTCACGCATAGATCCATTTACATATATTGAATTTATCTAATATGTTGCGGATTATGAGTTTGTATCTGCTTGAAAATCATGTATTAGAGATGTTTCACTTCATATAACAACAACTTCTTTTTTTGGGATCAAGATGAAAACAACACTTGAGATATCATTCAAATTGCCTCATCCTCGCATATATCAAATAGCAAGGTCTCTATACCAAGAGCAAACCTTTGCCTGCTCTGTTTTTTTCTCTTTGTTTTTCTATTGCTTTTGCTCTTGCAAAAAGTGATAAGTTGGTGTATTCAGTTCAGATATGCTGCTTTAGTTTCAAAACTTTAATGTCAATTTTATGACGTTTAGAGTTTTTATTTTTGGCAGTAAAGTTGTTGATATTGTTAGGTGCTTATTGCCTTTAATGTTCAGAACATTTATGCAAATTTATTTACATTTTTATAGTTTTATAGTCAAGTTGTTGACCCAAACGTGTTCTAAATTATATTGAATTAATTTGAAAGAAATCCAAGTAGCTTTTCTACATGTTGGCACTAAAACTGAACAGATAGATATGAGTGCAACTTACAAGTGAGATGGACGATCGAGAGATCGAGAGTGTTAGATGCAGATTCTTCCTGTCCTCAGATGCTGATCCTGAATGGAAGGAAGCCGAGACTCGTAAGGTCTATGGAACCGGTGTGGAACCAGCCTAAGACCCTCCGATGCCAAAGTAAGTTTGTTTTCTAAGAGCTTTTGCTGTTGACAAGATATTAGTTATAAAAGTCAAGCTGAAAAGTCTTACCCCTGTATTGTAGTGAAGGGGCCTATTTATATAGGGCATTTTGTATGCTATTGGTACTTAATTTCGATGTGGGACTCGTGGGAGGGCCCAATGAGGTTGACACGAGTCTTTAGATATTTCGGGCGGGTGCTTCGAGGTTGATTCTGCAGAATCGGTAGGGGATACCGATTGTAGACTGTGCTGGGCCTGTAGCGACCTTTTGCTGCTTTGAGACAATATCATCGGTAGCCGATGCTGATTGTCCGGAGCCTTGGGTACTTGGGGAGTTTCTCTAATCCACGTGTCACTGAACGAGTGGAGGGTCAGATATGGTACAAACACTACCCGTACATCACATAGTTGTGCAAATAAATTTTGAAAGGTTCATTTAACCAAAAAAAAATGTTGAAAGGTTCAAACAACAACTTGTTTGTTGATTTGAAGTCATAAAACGGTCTTTTTTTTTTTGATAAATTGCATTCATTGATCAGGCACAGAGGCCGTTAGCCAAGAAGGCCAGTACAGAGACCGTAAAGACCAGTACAATAGCCAAAAAGGCCATAGCAATGACAGAAACTGATACCCATTTAGGGTTGATACAAGAGTGGACAGTAGTCCAGAAGGGGAGGACACCGATAAACTCGGGAACTCCAGTCATGGCCATAGGAGGCCAGAGAGAGCTAGTGTGGACAGTAGTCCAGAGGGGGAGAACACCGGTAACTTCGGGAACTCCAATCATGGCCACAGAAAGCCAGAGAAAGAGCGGTAAAAAGACCGCGAGCCTGGAAAAATCCGGCATAGGACACTAAACGCCTAAAAAGCAAGTAAGAGACTGCAACAAGCAACACACTCAAAACGAGTAGAAGCACAAAAACACAACAAGAAAATTGCAAAGCCAAAGATCCGCACAGCAAGCTCAAGCAACTCCAGGTAGAGCAGAGATCACCCAAAACGACCAGGCCGAAGGGCAGCCCCCGGGGACGAATAGATCTGAGTAGATCTAGACAGGAGCACCAAAAACTGAGCCACCACCGTGCAGACAGCTGTAGGAACAACCAGAAGAACCAGGCTCTTACAAGTAAAAACTTGAAGAGAATCTTGATCGATCACCCCAAACGGGATGAAGACAAGCAGCACAAAAGGCTGAAGAGGATCGCACAGCACGCTTGGTCACTCGTTTGCCACCAAATCACAGATAGAAGCGAATTCCAGAGCTATTCCAGCCTGAAACAAAACTAAAATCTGCAAAAGAAAACAAACAGAGTAAAACAAAACCACCGGCAACACAGGGGGGATGCATTAACAATGATCAATGTTTTTTTTGTGAGAGTGCAAATAACATTACGATTGCAAAAGAGTGTGAGCCATCGCCTGAATAACATTAGAACATTTACTTGTATTTATAAATAAAAAAAATTAAAAAAACATAAAGTGACATTGCCTAGAAAAGAAAAATATAAAGGTGGGACAAAATAAATCACAAAGAAACCAAATAAGGAATGGCTGTACGAATGAAAACCCTAGGGTTTTTTGATTTACAGGAGCCCTTGATAAAACGGTCTTAAATAGAGCAAATATGTAAGATAATTGGGCCCACTGGTTGGATAAGACTCTTTTCAGCAGAGAGTCTCAAATCCAAAATTAGACCTTTATGGCCCGAAATTACTCCCAACCCTTGCATACAAGGGCTCAAAACGTGTCATTATTAAGAATGGCCAACTGTGAAGACTTTATCCATGGAAATTCATTTTCCCATTCATACCTGCATTAATTCCGCAACTAACCTTTTTAGTCTCTAATTTACACACCTTGCACTAGATGTATAACCAAAGACATCTCACATGAAATACCAAAAACTCTTTGTCGGAAGGTAAAAAACTGCAGAGTACTAAACTGAAATTAACCATATATGCAAATAACATTTCATAGTTTTATAGTCAAGTTATTGACCAAAACGTGTTCTAAATTTTTATATTGAATTAATTTGAAAGAAATCCAATTAGCTTTTCTACGCATACATCACATAGTTGTGCAAATAAATGTTGAAAGGTTCAGTTAACCAAAAAAAAATGTTGAAAGGTTTAGACGACAACTTGTTTGTGGATCCGAAATCAAAAAATGGTCCTCAATAGAGCAAATATGTAAGATAATTGGGCCCATTGGTTATATAAGACTCTTTTTATCGGGAGATTCTCAAATCCAAAATTAGATCTCTATGGCCTGAATTTACTCCTAACCCTTGTACACAAGGGGCCCAAAAGGTGTCATTATTAAGAAGGGCCAACCATAAAGACTTTATCCGTGGAAATTCATTTTCCCATTCATACCTACATTAATTCCGCAACTAAGCTTTTTAATCTCTAATTTACACACCTTGCACTAGATGTATAACCAAGGACACCTCACCTAAAATAACAAAAACTCTTTTCTTTTTTCTTTTAGTCGGAAATGTTAAAAACTGCAAGGTATTAAATTGAAATTAACCCTAAATGCAAATAACCTTTCATAGTTTTATAGTCAAGTTGTTGACCAAAACATGTTCTAAATTTTTATACTGAATTAATTTGAAAGAAATCCAAG